AAGACAATTGTAAGCAGAAAGAACAAAGCTAGAAGCATCATATTACTCCACTTCAAACTGTACTACAGGGCCACAGTAACCAAACAGCATGGTTCATGTACAAGAACAGACATATAGACCACTAGAGCAGAATAGAGAGCCCAGAAATAAGGTTGCATATCTGCAACACTCTGATCTTCAACAAAGCTAACCAAACAAGCAATGGAAAAATGACTTCCTATTCAAGAAATGGTTCCAAGATAGCTGGCTAGCCATATGCAAATGGCTAGAAAAATCAACTAAAGATGGGTAAAAACTTAAATGTGAAACCCAAAACTATAGAAACCTTGGAAGACTACCTAGGCAGTACCATTCTGAATACAGGAATGGACAAAAGGTTCATAACGAAGATGCCAAAAGCAATCACAAGAAAAGCAAACACTGACAAATGGATCTATTTAAACTAAAGGGCTCTGCACAGCAACAGAAACTATCAACAGTGTCAACAGGGAACCTACAGAATGGCAGAAATTACTTGCAAATTATGTATCTGAAAAGGTCTAATATCTAGCATCTATAAGGAACTTTAACAACTTTACAAGAAAAGAAAACACAACCCCATAAAAAAAAAAAAAGAGAGAGAGAGATGGGCCAAGGGCTGGGCATGATGGCTCATGCCTGCAATTCCAGCACTTTGGGTGACTGAGGGAGGTGGACTGCTAGAGCCCAGGAGGTCAAGACCAGCCTGGGCAATATGGTAAAACCCTGCATCTATGAAAAATAGAAAAATCAGCCGGGTGTTGTTGCACGCACCTGTCATCCCAGCTGCTCAGGAGGCTGAGCTGGGGGACTGCCTGAGTGAGACAGAGGTTGCTGTGAGCTGAGAGAGCACCACTGCATTCAGCCTGGTTGTCAGAGTGAGATCTTGACTCAAAAAAAAAAAAAAAAAAAAAAAAAAGTAGAGAAAGGACCAGAACAGACTTTTCAAAAGAAGACATACATGTGGCCAAAAAGCATTGAAAAGAAGCTCAACATCCCTGAACATTAGAAAAATGCAAATCAAAACCACAATGAGATACCATCTCTCACCAGTCAGAATGGCTAATATTCAAAAGTCAAAAAATAACAGATGCTGGCAAGCTTGTAAAGAAAAGGGAAGACTTATGCATTGTTGGTGGCAGTGTAAATTTGAGGAATCATCACATTGTGGAAAGCAATGTGATGATTCCTCAAACAGCTAAAACAGAACTACCACTCAATGCAGATATCCCGTCACTGGGTATATACCCAAAAGAATATAAATTATTCTATCACAAAAACATCTGCACGTGAATGTTTGTTACAACATCATTCACAATAGCAAAGACACAGATTCAACCTAAATGCCCATAAAAGACAGACTGCATAGAGAAAATGTGGTGCATATACACTGCAGAATTCTATGCAGCCTCAAAAAAGAATGAGATTATGTCTTTTGCAGAAACATGGATGGAGCTGGAGGCCATTATCCTTAGCAAACTAATGTGGAAACACAAAACCAAATACTGCATGTTCTCATTAGAAGTGAGGGCTAAATGATGAGGCTCATGGACACCAAGAGGGGAACAACACACACTGGGGCCTACTTGAGGTTAGGGTGAAAGGTGGCACAGGAGCAAAAAACAAAACAAACTATTGGGTACCAAGCTTAGTACCTGGATGATGAAATAATCTGTACCACAAACCCCCATGACACGAGTTTCCCTGCACATGTATCCCTGAACCTCAAATAAAAGTTCAAAAACCAAAACCAAACAATCTCACTTTTCTTTGGACTCTGCAGGAGAAACAGTGTCCCTGAAACTTTGATTCACATGGACACTAAGAGAAAGGAGAGGATATAGCTAGAGCCCAGGTGTGTGACAGACAGATGAGAGCAGCCCTCACCTGGTAGAGCCAAGGGACCTAGCGTGGGACAGGTTCATGCAAGGACCTTCTCTGCCTCTCTCCCTGATCACCCTGAGGATCAAGGCAGCGCTGTCCCAGAATCTTTAAAGGCAAAAAGAAAGATTACCTTCTAGAGTCAACGCCTTTTCCAAGAATTCCCACCTTAAATTTTTTTTTTTAACCATTGTACAAACTGGGAAAATGTACACCTTCTGAGTAGATTCTGCACAGTGGAGAAAAGGCTTGAGAGGCATAAAGGCCGGACTTTACAATCATTCCTCACGACATCATCCTAATCTATGCATTTCCCTGGTAACTCAATCCACAGCCTGGTACCCACCCCTGCTCCCCCACCCCCACTGTCATTTTGGTGCATTACAGACACAGGCCTGCAAACAGCTATGGTTGTGACTAGTTTCTTCCTGACACCTCAGCCTTTCTGGGAGGAGCTTAGAATCAGGAATGAAGTCAGAGGACAGGGCTGACAGGGACCATTTAAATGCGGCTACTCAGAGATTCACATAGAAGATGGGCACAATTCTGAAGAGTTGCCCAGAGGAAGCAAAAATGTCAGAGCTACAGGTGAGTTGAAAAGGCACAGCCTTCAATACTCTCAAGTTACATAAACCAAGAAGGAAACAGGGGAGATTTTATAAGATGAAAATGTTAGCATTTCTACTGGGAATGCTTTACTGAGAGCTGTGTGTTTGTGGACTAGAGACCCGGAGGCTATGGTATGAGATGCTTGCGGGGTGTAAGGTGTGGACCCTGGACCAGTGCAACCATCTGTCAGTGCGTGGTGGTGTCTGATGAGAGTGAACTCTGCTGAGATGATGTGACTTTAGGTGGGCGGTAGATGGTCCACCAGGATGGGCGGGTATGTGAGTGAGTGTAATGGGTGAGTGTGCTTTGTCTTCATGACTGTGGAGTGTGCGTGTGTGTGAGCACTGCTCAAGTGCTTAAGCATGTTCATATGCACCACGAGTAGGTGTGTGTCTCAGTGAGCGGCAAGGCTGTGTGCGACTGTGGGTGTGTGTGCTGGGATGTGACTGGGTGTTGAACTGGGAACGTGCATGTGGCCTTCTGTGCATGTGAAGCTTCCTCCCCACAGAGCAGCGCCTCTGACGAAGCAGCTGTGCAGCTTCCCCTGTGTGTCAGTGTTGCTCCTGGGTGGCAGAACTGGCGGGGATTTGGGAACTGGGAGTTACTGAGACTCACGTTCAACCATTCATGAGAACAGAATGTATGATCCGTAGATGGCTCTTTCCAGTAAGTGTGGGGAAGAGGAATGCAGACCATGGGGGTGATGGTTCCTCAGGTGGGGTTGCACAGAGTGACCACCGGCTCCTGCCTCCCAGCCTCAGCTCTCTTCCTGTCCCTCATCACAGCCTGTCCTTCCCATTGTAGGACAGGAGGGTGGGCAGATGCTGGCTTGCTAGCAAAGAACATTGGAGGCCCTGGTTTCAGAGCCTGGATCACCCAAAACCAGGGAGGAACAAGCATAGCCTCAGGTAAGACCGCACTTACAGTGAACAGTAATGAGAAAAATGGCTAGGTCCGCTGGCTTATGCCTATAGTCTTAACACTTTGGGAAGCAAAGATGGGAGAGTAACTTGAGGCCAAAAGTTTGAGACCAGCCTGAGCATTAGAGTGAGACCCTCTCAAAAATTTTAAATAACATCTGACATCCCAGCTACTTAGGAGGCAAAGGTGGGAGGATCCTGCAGCCTAGGAGTTCAAGGCTTCTGTAAGCTATGATTTCACCACCGTATGTCAGCATGGGTGATAGACCAGGACCCTGTCTCGAAAAAAACAACCACTTGTAGTCATTTTAGAAATCAATCATTCCCTCCAGTTACGTCCCTGACTCAGGCATTTCATTTGTGCAAGTCCTGGGGCTGTGCTCTCAGCAATGTGTCCCCTCCTGGAAAGGATGTACATTGCCTGTGATGATTGTGATGCATGTGCATCCCTCACACAGGGGTTTCCTGTTCCTTTATTATTTCCTTCTGTCTTTCAACAAGTATTGTTTCTCACTGGAGTGAATTTCTAAATTCTTACATCCTCAAGTCTTGTTTTCACAGCTTCAGAGTTAAAAATGAAGGCAGCTCAGTGTTCTAGGGGGACTCCCCTTTTCTTTTAGGTCACCCCTAATAGGCCCCATACATGCCAGGGGTTAGGGTCAAAGTTTTACATATATTAACTCATCTATTACCAAGAACACCCTACAAAGTAGGAATTCTTGGTAATCCTCCTTGTCCTGGGGAAACTAAGGCAGGGAGAGTTCAAGTAATGGATCTAAGATGGCGCTGCTTGTAAGAGGCAGAATGAGGACTGGAATTCAGGCATCTTGGCTCCTGAACCCTTCTCTTACCTATGGGTCCTTCATTTCTTCAGGAATATGGGACCCTGCCTGTGGTAGGATGAAAGAGGGTAAGTCTCAGAGTCTCTTCTTTGATCTCTAAGGGCAATCTGTTACAGAAGGTGCCACTCTCACGGCTTATGTCCTTGACCATTGGCTCTCTTATCACAATCAGAGGGACGCTGAGCCTCCCTTTCATATGAGTACTCCATGGTCCAAGGGTGGGGGTGGAGCAGAAGGGAGAATATTTGCTCAGGGGATGATCTTACGTGTGAGTGATGTGGAAATGTCTAGTTGGCAGGATGGAGGCACTGTGCAGGTGCAGGTCTTGGAGACCCTCCAGCTCCAGACAGGAAACCTACAGTGGCTGCACTGTGGGCTAGTTGTGGTGACTCAGCTAGGAGGACACTCAGGGACTGGGGCTGTGGCTCCCTATCAAGGACATAGAATTTTCAGGGAGTGGACAACTCTTAGGCCAGATTAGTGACTATGGCTCAGTTTCCATCTTGTGATGAGGAACAGAGCATCTCATACCTCAAGGGCAGGAAAAGCTGAAGCAGCCCCAGAGGGCTGAGGCTTACAGTATCAGCACCAGGTCTTCACTCTACCTGTGAAAAGGTGGGAAGGATTTCTTTGTGTGTCCCGTATGTGTCCCCACAAGGGAGAGACCTGTCCACAACCCTGTGTGGTTTTCCCTCGGCAAGGACCTACAGCTGCACGTGGATTTACTCACGAGCATGGGTGAAAACTCAGACATCGCCTTCCACTTCCAAGTGTACATTGGCCATTGTGTGGTCATGAGCAGCCGTGAGAATGGAATCTGGAAGGAAGAAGTGATCGTCAGCTATGTGCCCTTTGAGCTTGGCAAAGAATTTGAACTGACCATCCTAGTGCTGGACATTGAGCACCAGGTGAGTACCCCAGGAGCTCCCAGCACCCAGCCTCCATGGGCTCCCAGAGCAGGAGGCAGCTCTTTCTGAGCTGCCCCCACCAGTCCCTCAGGACCCATCTCCTGTAACTACTCCTGGCCGAGGCCTTTTCGTCACAGAGCACCCTCTGCTTGCACTGCCATCCTCAGATTTTTTTACCCATATCTGGGTAAAAATTTTTTTACCAGGGTCAAGGTCAGCTCACCTGACATTTCCCCAAGTTGGAGAATATCCTGTGTCTTTTCCCACAGTGCTCATTTCTACTTATGTCATTATTTAAACTTTCATTTGGCTGAATGAATACAACATGGGTAAGAAAAAAAATTGTTTTTGTCAGTCAAAATTTAGACTTCATCTCAATCCTAGACCCCAAGCCTACTCCTGAGAACTTTACCAGTGCTTTCCTCTCCTTCCAGAGGAAATATAGGCCTATGGAAGCACATAGGTTTATGATTTCATTTGTTTTTAAGCAAATCCTGGCATAAGTTGCTCTACACACTACATTTTAGGAAGCAATGTGATTTTTTGTGAACAAATGTAACTTGAAGACATCCTCAATCCACGGTGCATTCTCAGTTGTTAAAAATTGCATCATATTCAATTAGAATTATTACTCAGAGTTAATGAACTTGACCCTCTGATGAACATTTAGGTTGTTTTAAATATTTTGCTCTCAAAAATAATGCTCTATTAAGATTTCGAATCAATCTCTTTGCCATTATTAACCTCTCAATGCTTAATTGGAAAATAATTACAAAGAAATGAAAAAAATGGTTCTAAGATGTGTGAATTTTAAATTTGATACATTAACACTTATAAGGTGACTTTCTCTATAGCCTCAGTATGAAGAATATATTCACACTTTCTGGCATTCTCAAATGAGTACACCAAAATATTCACATTTAATTCAGATTTAAATGATGGGTCTTTTTATATGCTTAGAAGTTGTTGAAGATAATATTCTACGTTTCACAATACCTGTCCTGTTTTACCTTTGTAAGAATGCTTGGGTTTCATGCTTTGCCACAATTAGCCCAAATCTGGGCTACTCCAAAGAGAAACTAGGCCCTCAGCAGTGAATGGCAGTCCTAGTTCATGGAACTGAAATGTATGCATTCAATGAACACTGTTGGCCACTAACCTGTGCAAGGACCAGCGTAAGATGCAGGGATTCAAGTTCATGGACACAGTCCCTGGCCCTGGGGATCTTTGATGCTAGAGGGGAGGCTGAGCAGAGACCTTGCAACACTGAGTGGTAGAGCCTCACTGGAGGAATAAGAGGAAACATTAGAAATAAAGTGAGCAACTGTCTCAAATAGTCAGAAAAGATAGTCTGTCAACAGAAGTTTATCTACTGGGTTCAGTTGTATAACTACGAGTTTTCTCAGGGGATGCTGCAGGTACTAGGATAGAGTGGAGGGGAGGCTGAAACCTTGTTTGGTGGTGTACTGCTTTCTGATGCATTTTTCCTCTTGTAGGTAACGGTAAATGGCCATTGCTGTTACACCTTTGCCCATCGACTCCCGCCTGCATCTGTGAAGAGGTTCCGAATGTGGAAAGAGGTCTCTATGACCTCAACAACTATCTGCAGTTGCAAGAGAAAACCACACTCCTCATTGTTGAGGAATTCCTCTTTCTAAATGACCATGAGATCCCCAGAGCCTGTTAACAGAATAATCCCTCCTCACTCCTTCCCATACACTTGGTTATTAAAAGTTCATCAAATTTCCCAAGATTTGGTTCTTACTTTAAGAAGGGAAAGAGAAAGTAGTCATCTCAAGAGAGTCTGAGTGATTGTATGGGAAGCATTAAGACATCAAAGAGGAAAAACCTTCCTGTGGCTCAAGAAGTGAGTGACGAAGTCCCTGGAATGTCTGAGAACTTAGGAATGGCATCCTTCTATAGCACATAATTGACATCGGACATTCAATCAGAATCCTTACCTAATCTCAGATGGCTCACTGCACTGAAATGTTAGGTAGCTGTTTACAGCCATGCAGGTATCACTGGTGGCTTTGTGGAGAAACTCTAACTTTAGGACAATCAGGTGGGATTTTTTAATTCTATTGTTCCCAGGTTGTTTACTCTATATGAACACTGTGCCTCACTCGGTGCAGGCTGCTCTGAAGGAACTTTAGAAAAAGATGACAAATTCCTCGCCAGAAGTGGTGGCTCATGGCTGTAATCCCAGCACTTTGGGGAACTGAGGCGGGCAGACCACTTGAGGTGAGGAGTGTGAGACCAGCCTGCCCAACATGGCGAAGCCATCTCTACTGATAATACAAAAATTAGCTGGGTGTGGTGGCATGTGTCTGTAATTCAGCCAGTTTGGAGGCTGAAACATGAGAATTGCTTGAACTCAGCAGGTAGAGGTTTCAGTGAGGCGAGATTGTGCCATTGCACTCCAACCTAGGTGGCAGAGTGAGACTCTGTCTCAAAAAAACAAACAAACAAACAAACAAATTTCCCATATGAAAATTTCACTCCAAGCAATAGTTAGAGAATCATAGGAGTTTAATGATTTCCCTTCAATGATTCTGATTGTTCTTGTTTCTAAACACTTGCAAGATTTTTCCAACTTATGTGGACACAATTCTGTGATTTCTCTTTGGAAACAGGCGGTCATGGTTTTTAGAACAGAAAATATTTAGTTTATTGTTGGAATAGACACAATTAATATACATGGTCACAGTGAGGAGATCCTGCTTCTCTGCTGTTGCATTTAGGCACTGCAGCACAGCAAACCTCCCAACACATATTGGCTGAAAGCAACCACTGATTCTCATCTCCACCAGCTTTACAGGTTTACTGGTCATGTGGGTGGTAGATCATGAGGTGGGAGTCACGTTTTCTGAAAGATCTGTAGGCTGGGATTCCAGGGGATGCTTCAACTCACGTGTGACTCAACACTAGGGTTGGGTGAACATCTGGGGGTTGGCTGGCTATCTCCTTCCCCACTTCACCTCCCCATTCATGCCTTGAATTTCCTCAAATCATGGTTCTTGGACTTAATGAATGGTGATTGGATTCCACCAACAAAAGCCTTCCGAAAGGCTCAAGGAGGAGGTGCAGGGCATTATAGAACCTAGCTTTGAAAAGCAGACAGTGTCACTTCTATGACATTATGTTGATCAAGGTAAGTCACACAGGCAGCCCAATCAAATGAACATGAATCCACAAGCTGTGGCTATTCTGACTTGTGGTCCTGAGGGGCCATCCTTGGCAAGTATTTCCACTCAGTTCCACACTTACACTTGTAAGCGTGTATATGGGCTTATGCTTCCCTCATACCAAAAACACTAACCCTGTAAGGAACCACTGGAGGCAAGACAATTACAGAAACGGGTTCAGATTGAAGTCTGGCATCTTATCATCCAGTCAGAATCTGGTGTGCATGTTGTGACTACAAATCACCAGGTGCCCATTCTCTCAACATATGCACTAAAGGGATACATTATCTGCCCTATACGTATCAAACACACAAGACTGAAACAGACAAGGAAAATGCGTAAGGAAAATGCAGTGAACGCATCTGTTTCAGAAGGGCAAAAGATAATAAATGGCACTCTTTTCCTCACTGCACTCCTGAAAGCAAGATGGTCACATGCAGCTCTACTGGAGCCACCCATGAAAACTTAGCCTGGGTTCTCACTCTTGTCATAACTGTTCCAACCAGCACAGTCTATTCCGGAAGTACTATCTCAATATGTGCCCCTACTGTTTCCATAAGTACTTAAAGTACTTATACATTTCAGTAAGTTGGACTAAGAGGTCTTCCTTGAATGGATAACCAAGGCATCCACCCAATGAAAGAAACCATGCTAGCTCTTTGCATAAACTAAAAATTCAAACAAACAAACAAGGACAGAAAAGAAAATAGACCACAGTCACGGTCCATATCACTGAGGAAACCAACAAGACCCCTATTTTCATTTTCTCTGCAAATGTTTCTCTGCAGCAATTGGCTTCATCCTCCATTCTTAGCTTCTTGGAGCTCCTACCAAGATGGCAGAGTGACAGCCTTTTTCTCTCTACAAGAGCTGTGATTATCTATTTCATAGTGCAAATGAAGACTCACTTAGGAGAAGATAAACAACATATTACTTAAAGGTCAATCAAGGCAGACTGAAGAGGGTCTCATCAAATAGCCTCTTTTTCTGCTGGGCCCATCTCAGGCATCATTTTGATCATCTTCATCCTCTCTCCCCATTTTCATTGCTACAGCTCGTTCAACTCCAACCTCACTCATGAGTATGCCTCTCTCTGTACTGCTTCTTTAACTTAACATACAGATACCTTGAGGTGTCAATGTATAGTGAATTACACTCTTCATGTCTCTCTTCCTTGTTTCTTTCCAGTATGGACTGAAATTTCCTCCCCTCCCATTGGAAACTCTCGAGTTCTGATTAGGTACACTCTCCTCCTTACACCATCCCTGTCACAGTCTTGGTCACTTCTTTATTTTTATAATGGAGTATAGGCTCCATCACCAGCATGGAATTCATTTCTTGGCAAATTAGGCAATTCTTGCCTAATGGATGAAGATTATCCTGGAACCCACGACTTTTTCAGCAGAACATGAGTTTGATTTTATACCTGCTTGCCCCTGGATGACACCCATTTTATCTGAATAACCTACAGAGCCCTACATGCTGGCCTTGCAACACACATGGTGACTCCTCTTTCTTGACTGATATTCACCAGCTCATTTTAGTTCACATGGGCCATTTGTTACACTCATTCCTGTCTCAGGTACTACCCTTTGCTCATGGTGGCCAGGATGACATCTCAGATACAAAGAAGTGACACAGAGTTCAGGAGCCAATGTTCAGCAGAGAATTTCTGAATCACCTCTGAAAACTTATTCAACATCGTTTCCATGTACCTCAACCCAAATTCCTGATCTTCTCCCAGCAAATACGACATTGCTCAAAACACAGAAAGTCATTTCTGGACTCTAAAGCCGTCATGCTCAAAGGTCTTTATGCTTTTCCATTTTTGTTGAAGCCCCTCATAGAATGAATCTATTCTGTGATAATATTGTCCTTGATGCCCAGGTTCTTCAAAGCTGGTCCCCCTGTGACACTGTCGTTGGTGCTGAGCACTGGTACATTCGGCCCCGTATTTATAAGTGAGGGGCCAATGTGACAGAAAAAGAGAGAAATTTTGTTTTGTTTTGTTTATATTTGACAGATCATAGTCAAAATCTCCATGATGAATGAAGCACAGCTTCAACTTAGATTTTCAAACCACAATTTCTGCAGTGCCCTCTTTCACTACTCCTATTCAATATAGTATTGGAAGTCCTGACTAGACTAATTATGCAAAAGAAAGAAAGGGCATCTAAACAGAAAGAGAGGTCAAACCAGCCTTGTGTGCAGATGCCGTAATTCTATATCTAGAAGACCCTATAGTCTTAGCCCAAAAGATCCTTAAGCTGGTAAACAACTTTAGCAAATTTTCAGGATACAAAATCAATGTGGAAACATCACTAGGACTCCTACATGCCAAAACAGCAAAGTGTAGGGCCAAATCAGGAATGCAATTCCACTCAAAATTTCCATGAAAAGAATAAAAGTATCTAAAAATACAGCTAACCAGGGAGGCAAAAGATCACTAAAATAAGAATTACAAAAAAAAAAAAAAAAACTGCTCAAAGAAACAAGAGATGACACAAAGAAATGGAAAAACATTCCCTCCTCATGGATAAGAAAAATCAGTATCATTAAAAGAGCTATACTGCCCAAAGAAATTTACAGATGCAATTGCTATTTCTATCAAACTATAAATGACTTTCTTCACAGAATTAGAAAAAAAATTACTTTAAAATTCACATGGAACCAAAAAAGAGCCAAGTAACAGAGGTAATTCTAAGCAAAAAGAACAAAGCTGGAGGCATCACATTACCCAACTTCAAACTATACTACAAGGCTAAAGTAACCAAAACAGCATGGTATTGGTATGAAAACCAACACACAGACCAATGGAACAGAATGGAGTCCAGAAATAAGGCCACCCATCTACAAGTGATGAATTGCAGCATAACAATCCTTCTAACATATATTGGCTAAAGGCAATCATTTATTTTGATCTCTCCCAGCTTTACAGGTTTACTGAACTCATGTGAATGGTAGATCATGTGATTGGAGTCATGTTTTCTGAGGGATCTTTAAGGCTGGATTTGCAAGGATGCTTTACTCATGTCTAACCCCACATTAGGGCTGAGTGAATACCTGGAAACTGGCTGGTTATCTCCTTCACTACCT